GAAAGTGCTTCTGTATTTGCCTATGCTCCAGATGCACTCGTAGATGAGAAGGTAAGAGTCAGAGGATTTTCCAGAAGAGTTCACAGCTACTGCTTGAGAGTTCACAGTTGCCAAAGCTGATAAATAGACTCGGGTAGGGATGCTGAGAAAACGAGAACATTCTGGGAACTATTTTCTGCTTTTTGTTCTTTACTGCAACCTCCCACCCCACTCCACCCCATTCGACTATCAAACGGAGCCTTCTGGAGATGTAGGCATGTTCTGAACTAAGAGCAATACCAGCAGGTCAAAAGTTAGCTGCTTGAATGAGATCGGTTCTCAATGCTCGGTCTCAGTTATATTTGGTTTTGACTCTTGCATACCACAGGAAAGACATTTTCCATGTGGTTTTTGTGAGAGGCTATGGCACATGGAAGCACGTGCTGAGTGCAGTATCCTTGTCCGCTACTAATTGGGTATGGGGGTTACGTAAGTTTCCAACTTGACTGTGCAGATCATAGAGGACCTGTGTCCTGGAGGTGCTATTTGGAATGAGAGGAAACCCATATAAAAGGCAGTCATTGTCTCAGAAGAGGATCTCCATTTTAATAAAAAGATATTTATCATTGGAGCATACAGTGTGAAAGATCCTCAGTTGTCTACATCATACTTTGTAGACTGTCGTACTTTCAAAAGAAAACAGCATTTGTTTTTCATGCCTTGTGGATGTCTGTCTACCTCGTATGATTTCAGAAATAGAACATTTATCTGTGCTTTTGTTGTGGAGATGAAAGTTCTTTAAATGGGAGGTGTAGGGGACTTGCCACTATTGAAAAAACAAAAACAAAAATAAAACTACATTTAGCCCTCTAACCCAGTAGATGAAGAAGCCATTTTAGCAGCTTCAGACTCCATTTTCTCCCAGTTTTTGAATATAAGCATAAAATCTGAGCAGCTGAGATTTCAAGAGCTGCATATCAGTCACATGCCACATGGCGATGATGCAAAACACATGTAAAGGATAATGCAAAGGAGCAAATATCATTTGCTGCGCATCATTTCTTTTAATTTCAAATGGAATTTTTTCCTGCCTCCTGTAGTGCAGATTTTAATTTCCTGTTTGAGGTGTCCCTTTGTGCATATTATATTCCTGGATAAAATAATACATTTCCAGTTTATAAAGGAATTATAGATCTTCCTGTTATTTATTTATTTTTTAAATAGTAAGTTTGTTGAGAGAGTCACGTACCATAAAAATTACTCTTTTAAATTATACATACAACTCAGTGGTTTTCGGCATATTCAGAGTTATGCAGTCATCACTATCTAATTTCAGAATATTTTCATAATTCCCAAAAGAAACCTATATCCATTAACAGTCACTCCCCATTCTGCCCTTCCCCTAACACCTGACAACCACAAATTATCTTTTTGTTTCTATGGATTTGCCCATTCTGTACATTTCATATAAACGAATCATATAATATGTGGCTTTTTGGGACCAGCTTCTTTCACTTATATTTCAAGGTTCACTCTTGCTGTTGTATGTATTGATACTGCATTATTTTTATTGCCGAATGATATGGATATATCACACTTGTTTTACTGTTTGTGTGTTGATAGATATTTGTGTTGTTTCCACTTTTTGACTATTATGAATAATGCTATCATGAATATTTGTTTACAAGTTTTCGTGTGGACATATATCTTTTCACTTTTGTATATACCTAAAAGCGGAATTGCTGGGTCATATGATAACTTTATCCATATAATTCTGAGGAACTGCCAAACTGTTTTCTAAAGTGGCTGTTTTACTAAGTGATTCCACCAGCAATGTATAAGGGTTCCAGTTTATCCACGTTCTTGCCAAAGCTTGTTATTGTCTATTTTTCCATTTTAGTCATTCTGGTGGGTGTGGAGTGTTATCTCATCGTGTTTTGAATTGTGTCCCCTAATTACAATTTTGTTGAACACCTTTTCATGTGATCGTTGGCTGTTTTCTTACCTTCTTTGAAGAAATGTCTATTCAAATCTTTTGTCCATTTTAAAATTGGGTTGTCTTTTTATTGTTGAGTTGTAAGAGTTCTTTATATATTATGGATACAAGTCCCTTATCAGATAAATGATTTGCAAATATTTTCTCCCTTTCTCCCTGTTATTTTTTGTGCCACATTTGTTAGGACTTTGATACTATTTTTGGAGTACCTTTTTTCTAGATAAACTTCACATAGCCCAGGGAAATCATGGCACACACTTTTACCGAGAAACTGCCTGATGCCAGACACTATGTTAAGTTCTTTGTACTATTTTTAATTCTTGTAGTAACATTAAGAGGTTGGTATCATCCCTTTATTAAGGGAAAGGGAACTAAAACTCTGAGCGAGAATTAATTTGCTCAAAGTGGCCGAACTAGAAAGTGTCAGAATCTGCAAATGAATCCAATTCTTCCCGCTTCCTTAGTCTATTTCTCCTTTACTCTAATAGTTTGAGTAACATAACTGAATGACAATATTGTATTCATCTGTGGTATGATTTGTATTGGATAAATATATATTTTATTTCTGTTTCCAAAAGTCTTATAAATAATTTTGCTTTATTCTTTCCTTCCTCTCTCTACTGGCCTATTTCCTTTACAAGAATTTATTTAGTCCTTACTGTGTTCAAAATGTCTGGATAAAGTGACGAATAAAGGACCCTCTGGTGCTTATACTCCAGTAAGTGAGATAAACTACAAATAAATAGATACGGATGGACTTAAAATATCATGTGAAATAATATAATGCCAGAAGTGATAAGAGCTATGAAGAAGAAAACAGCAAGTGAATGGAGAGAGGGTTTACTATTTTAGATGGAGTCATTGGGGAAGACCTGGATGAAGTGAGACCTGGATGAAGGGGTGGCGGGGGACACAGGACTATCTGGGGAGAAAGCACTCTAGTCAGAGGAAGAGACACGTTTGTTGTGACGGATGACCAGCAAAAAGACCATTGTTGTAGGCCAACTTTTGCATGGGCATAATTTTACTTAAGAAGAGCACTGGTCTTTAAAACATTTCTAAAATATATTAAACATACCTCTGTAAATGATTGGAGTAGATAGTATTCACCATACTTTGCCGGTACTGTGTCCCCACTCTCTCTGTTATGCCTCTGAGGAAATTATTTGTTTAGAGGCCCTAAGTGTACAGTGGTTAGGAGTTTCGGACTGGGGACTTGAGTGCCACTTATTAGTTGTGTAACTGTGTCTTATTTTTTCAAGTCTAAAATGGGCGTATTCGTTTGCTAGGGCTATGGTCACCAATACCACAGACTGGGTGACTTAAATCAAGAAATATATATCCTCACAACTCTGGAGGCTGAATGTCTAAGATCAAGGTGTTGTCAGGGTCGGTTTCTTTCAGAAGGCCTCTGTCCTTGGTTTGTAGATTGCCGTCCTCTCCCTGTGTCTTCACATGATCTTCCCTCTGTGTGTATCTTTGTCCTAATCTCTTCTTATAAAGACACCAGTCATATTGCATTAGGGCCTACCCTAATGACCTCAGTTTACCTTAATCACTTCTTTAAAGATCCTATCTCCAAATATAGATACTTATTCTGAGATATTGGGGTTAAAACTTCAACATATGAATTTTTTAGGGAATATAATTCGGCCCATAAATATGTAGAAAATAATCTACTTTGTAGAGTGTTTTTGAGAATTGAGATAATATATAGAAAGGCTATTGAATTGTACTATTAAGAGTGTTATTATCCTATTTATATCCAGTCACACCTATATTGTTAGTTTGTAGAGGAAAGAAATGTACAGATTATATCTTTTAATTTTATTATTATTTTTATTTATTATTTTAAAAAATATGCTTCCGCCTAGGATAATCTTCACCTCTTATAGGTACTCAGTACATGTTTGTTAAAACTTTCATCCCTCCCACTACCACTGACACATCCCTCCTGTTATCATTATTATCTTCTCCTTCCTCAACCACGTCTGCATCCCACCATTCTTCTCCTTCTAATTGAATCTTAAATTTCACTATCATTAACTGAGTTCCTTTTGCATCCATACCACGCTTTTCTTTTTCCCAGAGAGATCTTGGCAGTTCCGCTCAGTTCAGATTTCAACGACTGCACTGCTTTTGACACATACCAATATTGCATGCTGATAAACCTATAAGACTTCAATTTTCAAACTTGTTAGAGCAACAACTAGTGTGTATGATTCCCTTTCTGGAATAGAGTTGACCCAGAGAAGGAAGCCTCTTTTGCCCATGAGTCTAATACAGTGTTTCTGAATTCATTATCCCAAAGCAGGAATAACAAGATTTATTTCCTATTGAATGTTCACTTTTGAAATCCTCAGCCCTTCCTTCATGGTACAGAATAAGCTCTAGAGCAGCCCTGCCTGGCAACAGAGGACCAGCTGTAATCACACTAACGGACAGAGCTTCATAACACATTTCCTAAAATGTTTTCTCAAGAAGTGAAGGAAAAACTGATAGGAAATTTGAGTAAAGGTCAGAAACAGGGGTTAAGAGCACATTTAAACAGGTTGAGGATTAAGCCACTGTAAAGATCAGTCTTAGCCGACTCCGAAAGCCATTAAAATTTGAGCTACAAAATAAAAGCACAAATGCCTAGACTACAAGGACAAAAATTGGAATTTGGAAGGAAAAGACTGGCCAATTCAGATTTGCTATACGACGATCACATTTGTACTTTTTAAACTGTTTTATTGGGTCAATAGTCAAGAATGTATTTTATTTTGCTGTAAGACTATTAATGAATTCTTTGATAATGATTTTTTGACACATATATCTTACTTGGTTCAGGGAACCTAACCTGTTGTAATATTCTCCTGTTGAAGAGTTTGCTTTTATATCTAGTGACATTTATCATTATCTAAGGCCAGCTGCCTGACTTCTCTTCAGTGCTCTGTTTATGGGGTTTGAACATCTATAAATGGAAACACTAGCTAACCAGAAATTATCGCCAGGGCTTTCTGATAGTGTCCTGGGTTCTCATAACTTGGAATGTCCTGCAATATCTAACATGTAAGCACGTCAAATCATTTTCTAGACAGAATCCGAATCTCTCTTTTTCTGTTTCTCTGTCTCTCGTTCTCTTTCAACATGGAATTTGAAAAGCATGAAAAAGGAAGCTTATTAAATGAGAATTTAGAGGAGAAACTGACGGTAAGAATTGTGAGATTTAGCATAAGCAGATTTATAATAGAATTGTCAGAGTGAAAATGCAACTGTCACAGGTTGGAAAAGTTGTAGTAGCCAGTCTATATTTCCATATTTTTAAGGTTAACGGCCTTGAAATTAATGAATTATGTGGGCTTTACTAAAAACAGTGTAACAAAATTAATTTAAACATTTTAATTACTAGAATGTGGGAAAATTTGATTTAGTTAATTGATGTGGTTTACCTCCATTTTAAAAGCTAGAATGATTTATTTTGAATCCTTGTTGTGATTGCCTCAATACTGGAAAATTATTTTATTTATTGATATGAAGCTTAGCGAGTGTTCTCTCGGGGACACCAGGAATATGTCTCTCTCTCTCTCTCTCTCTCTCTCTCTCTCTCTCTCTCTCTCTCTCTCTC